ATTTCGACAAAGTAAACTAAAGGATTGGCGGAATGTACAGAACGTACACGCACGCACGCACGAACGCACGCACGCACGAACTCACATACGCACGCACGCACGAACGCGTGAGTTAATAATTATGTGTATTATATTGTAGTTAAGTATTATTGCTTATTGTTGGGTGCGGCCATGGCTCAATAGAAGGTACTAGTCATGATTTACCTGCTATATGTTATATGCGTTGATACCGTGGCTCCCTGAGATGGAAATAACATTTTACACACTACTCGTTTGACGAAATTCATAACCCAAGCGAAACTTGATTGCCATTCTCGCAGATTTAATCAACACGATGAGATAACTCGCCGCATCCCCTGTTTCTGATGTGGCAAAAATGAGGTTATATTCGCGCTGCTGTATAGAAAAGCCGAACGTTAACGCGATCATACGATTTTCCCACCTAAACAAATATTCGATTCCGGCATCTGGGAGGCGGGCTCTTTATACAATCACAAATATTGCCGCGCGTCTAAAAATAGCAACGCGGGTGAAATGTCGTTTAAAAAACTCTGGGGCGAATGTGAGCGCTCACGCGCTCTCGCTACGTTTCCTAACCTCCCCCCTTGCAAGTCTGCTACCGTGTGTACATATACTACGTAGGACTACGTCTGTGTTCAGGCGCAGAAGTGCAGTAGCGTTCTATTGCTATCGTTTAGCTTCATTCTGGGGGCCGATCTTTGCACCCTCGACCATGTGTTTTCTGGCAGCCACCCAGAACTGCCTGCCGGGTCTTGGAGTGGGCCACTAGAATCTAGAGGCAAAATAACATCAATCCCTCGTGTTCGGCGTTTAGGGGCGGTTGGATGGAGGGGAGGAGGGGGGGGCAGGGATTCGGCGTTTAGGGGCGGTTGGATGGAGGGGAGGGGGGTCAGAGATTCGGCGTTTAGGGGCNAGAGAGAGAGAGAGAGAGTGAGAGAGAGTGTGTGTGAAAGAGAGAGAGAGAGAAAGCGAAAGAGAAAGTGAGGGAGTGATGGAGGGAGGCGTGGAAGGGCGGGGGCGAGGGAGGAGGAAGGATTGATTGGGTGAAGGAGAAAGGAAGAAGAAGAATGGATTGAGAGACAGGGGAGACAGAAAGGGAGAGGATAGAGAGTGATATAAGAAACTAAGAAGAGTGACACCATTTTGACAAAGTAAACTAAAGGATTGGCGGAATGTACAGAAAGTACACGCACGCACGTACGCACGCACGCACGCACGCACGCACGTACCCACGAACGCACGCACGAACGCACGCACGCACGCACGTACCCACGAACGCACGCACGCACGCACGCACGCACGCACCCACGAACGCACGCACGAACGCACGAACTCACGCACGAACTCACATACGCACGCACGCACGAACGCGTGAGTTAATAATTATGTGTATTGTATTGTAGTTAAGTATTATTGCTTATTGTTGGGTGCGGCCATGGCTCAATAGAAGATACTATTCATGATGTACCTGCTTATGTTATATGCGTTGACACCGTGGCTTCCTGAGATGGGAATAACATTTTACACAGTACTCGTTTGACGAAATTCATAACCCAAGCGAAACTTGATTGCCTTTCTCGCAGATTTAATCAACACGATGAGATAACTCGCCTCATCCCCTGTTTCTGATGTGGCAAAAATGAGGTTATATTCGCGCTGCTGTATAGAAGCCGAACGTTAACGCGATCATACGATTTTCCCACCTAAACAAATATTCGATTCCGGCATCTGGGAGGCGGGCTCTTTATATAATCACAAATATTACCGCGCGTCTAAAAATAGCAACGCGGGTGAAATGTCGTTTAAAAAACGCTGGGGCGAATGTGAGCGCTCATGCGCTCTCGCTACGTTTCCTAACCTCCCTCCTTGCAAGTCTGCTACCGTGTGTACATATACTACGTGCAGAGGCGCAGTATTCAGGCGCAGAAGTGCAGTAGCGTTCTATTGCTATCGTTTAGCTTCATTCTGGAGGCAGACCTCGGCACCCTCGACCATGTGTTTTCTGGCAGCCACCCAGAACTGCCTGCCGTGTCTTGGAGTGGGCCACTAGAATCTAGAGCCTAAATAACATCAATCCCTCGTGTTCGGCGTTTAGGGGCGGTTGGATGGAGGGGAGGAGGGGGGCAGGGATTCGCCGTTTAGGGGCGGTTGGAGTGGAGGGGAGGGAGGGGGTCGAGGAGAGTTCGGCGTTTAGGGGCNAGTGGAGACGTGCGCCGGGCCTCGAATTTGGCGCACGTCTCCACTGCGGGCAGCGCTTCACACTTGAACATCCCCGCGGTCGCGTGCGCATATCCCGCGGAACTGCGCGTCTCATCCGCGCGCAGCGCTCAGGATCTACAGCAAAGCTGTGCCACGCAATCTTGTATCATGTCTCTCTGGATCATATTTCCCTTCCGCTCTATAACTCGGCCCCTAATTGACCTAGCGCTACCAAACTTGGTATACTTACACATCTTGTGGGAGAAGGTGTGTCGCGTACCAAAACCCCTAAGGCAACCAATTTTAACATACTTGCACATCTCAGGCAGATGAGTTGTGTAACAAACCTTTGTCTTTGTGACTTATTTAACTTTACCTACCTTCTACGTCCTTACAGAGATATTTCAGTCATACTAGATCACGGGGGATACGTGTAGTTGGCGACAACTGCCCTTTTTAGTTGGTTATAGGTTAGATTTGATGTAACCCTGTATAACAACACTTAGTTTACGTGTGATGACTCTGTATTTATTGAGCTTTTTATTTTAATTCGTTACTCGATGTTTTGTTAATTTCTTTGATTTTAGACAATAGCACTATTGCAACAAGTTGTCATTTCGTAATCAGTGCGTTCTTTTAAAATATCAAGCAATACATAACACGTTTACTCTGTCCTAATAATATTCTAGTAAATGCACCACTGTAAATTACTAAACTTACAAGACTAAACGCTACCCTCTCCTCAAGTAAATTTGGAATCGAAAGTAAGTCGAAATCTTACTGTCAAAACAGACCATACTGGCTGCAAAATACATGCAGGCTGCCCAAATAGCTCCTATAACGATTTCCAACAAGACTTGGCCCTCTCTGTAAAACGCTCCAAATTTAAGCTTAAGCGAAAATCAAGTCATCTGACCTCAAGTACGAATAAGGAATAATTCTAGACGGCTTTTGTCACTTGATAATAACTCGGCAGAAGTCGTGAGTGCCTCACTGCTGCTGCTGCGGATTGCTGGTGAAATGCACAAATGTATTATGCACCACACGAATGCGTCATCGTGCTATTGCTTCTGTTCGCCGTGTATGTACGCCTACTCGCTAACGTGGTCGCTAATTCCTAATCAACTTCTAATTATGTTAAGCTGCCCTGCTGCTGGCCACACAGAGTGAGTTCCTACGTTGTAGGATACTGCTAGAACATGGTGATCTAAGCGAATTAAGGTTTCGCAACTCCTTTGACATCGGTTTTCCAAAGGAAGCTGTTGCCGCAGTCGTTCAAGCTTCGATGTTGTTTTGTGTTGCCGCAGTCGTTCAAGCTTCGATGTTGTTTTGTGTTTCCGCAGTTGTTCAAGCTTCGATGTTG